CCCCCCCCCCCCCCGTCCCAGCCATTCCACCTGCCATCCTCCAGCGAGTCCCCCGCACTCATGTCCGACTTGCTGTTCCACCCCATCCGCGTCCCCTTCGAGAACATGAGCTTGGCCGCCGCCTTGGCTCTGTCTACAGGTGACTCGGTCGCCATCCTTCCGCCCACGGGACTGTCGGCTCCGACGATCGACGCCGGGGCGGAGCCCCTCCTGAGGTCGAGCGGGGAGGGCTGGGGCTCTTCCGGGTAGGCGGGGTAGGGTCCGGCGAAGATGAGCTTCTTGCCGAGGCGGAAGGCGTAGAAGCTGACGCTGTTCATGAGCTGCGTTATGACCCCTTCCAACGCTTTCCATGGGCTAGTGCTGGAAGAAAGCACACGGGGTCAGGGAGAATGTCAGGGTTGGGTGGGTGGCATGCGAGAGTTGAGTTCACGAACGGGCAAAAAAAGAAACTCATGTTTCGAAGTCAAGTATCGAGATACCGCGTTCTGTGCTGGTTCAAGAAAGCAAGGCGATTGGATCGCTTCTAAATCAACCGAGGATCTGTCGTCCATAGATGTCGTAGACCCCATGCGCGCCTAGCCCTTTCGATTCCCACAAACGGCGGAGAGACGCGGGTACATGGCAAGACAACTTCGGTTTGCTTAGACACCCACCAGGCTGAGACCTTGGCACGAATCGTGGCATAGCTCGACCTGACTCCACCAGCGTGCCATCAGCACGAACGGCTGGCTGCTGTACCAGCGCCTCTCACCTGTACATCTGCAAGTCCGAGTAACGCGCCCTCTGCTCCGCGATGTACGACATGCTTTCCCTCTCCGGAGGGGCCACGAGCACCGCATCGCACGCCACCAGAGCCCCCGGGTGAAGGTGCTCGAACATATTGGACCCAGCCGCGGAAGGCACGGCTCCGCGCCACTTCTGCTCGCGAAGACGAGGAGGCATGCACGCCGCGCTCACCCAGATGTGCTGGAACTCGGGGTTCTCCATCAAGAACGCCCTCGCCGTGGCGTAGAGGTCGGCAGCCTCCCCCGCTGCCGAGGCCCGCTTCGCGATCACGGCCCCGGCGGCCGCTTGCGCCGCGCCTGCGGCGGCGCAAGCCACGGCCACCGACACCGCTCCAGCCGCCGCCGCCGCCGCCGCCGCCGCCGCCTTGGAGGCCTCGTCCACGCTGGCGGTCCTTGGAGGGTCGCCGGGCACCCACCGCTTCTCGAGGTGATCTCCCTGGGAGTGGCTGAGATACAACGCCTTGCCCGGCCCCATGGGGTGCTTCGCCTTGTCGGTAAGCGATAGCACCGGTCGAAGGTGTGGCTGAGGAGTGGATACAACAACCAAGACGGAAAAGGGTACAACACACACGACAAGACGGGCAGTGTGTGTGTGTGTGTTTTTAGTGTGTGTGTGTGTGTGTGTGTGCGAGCGTGCGTCTGGGGGGATACGCTTGTTTTTTTCAAACCACGTCTTCGGACCACGGACCTCGCATTCCTGCAAACAGCGCCAGGACTGGCAAACAACACGTTTGTTTCTCCTTCTGCAGAGCGCAAGCTCGCAAACCACCAAATCGCGTCGAGCAGAATGAACAAAAAGCCACCACCCACGGAACATCGAACGCTGTGCTGTGCTGTCAGGGACACATGCCATGTGCTCTCCTTTGCTTGCACTTGTTTGTGATGGCATGACAAGTTGCACTTGACCGTAGCGCTATGCCCGCGTGACTGGCAGCGACATGTAGCGTGTCGCGCAGTCCAACAGCCAAGCAAGGGAAGCGCGAAACCACCAACCGCCAAAACGTCCAGAGCTAAGCAGCCGCTTGCTGCTGAGATTCGGCATGCGGTAACATCACACATCTCAAGCAACAGCGCTCGTGTTCGGCCCACGCGCTTGTGGGGCATCGCACGCGTCAACGTCGCCGCATGCCTGAACTTCGGCGCAGCAGCACTTGAGTCGGTGCGTTTGAGTCGGCGCCACGGTTCGAATCAAGGAGCAACACACCCGCATATGTTACATGTTCAAGCATCAGGCGGACACATTCACGGGGGCAAAACAAAAAAATTGCTGTTGCTCGAGAGATTCCCGGTGCAATGTGTGTTACCGCATGCCGAATCCATAATCAGAATCCCACAGCCACGCGGCTACGATAAGGGCTGTTAATCCCGCGACAAGATCTGGATGTGGATGGTATTGCGTAAGAGCACCAGAGGACAACGGCGAAAAACATATTATGGTACACTACCGGCGACAATCAAACCTTGCCCACGAGCACCCGAGACTCGAACAGCAGTACACCACAGCAGGGCCATTACATACCAACAGCAGCCAGTACAACCGTTGGTACCCCAGCCGAATCCTATCTCTGTCCCCGTCGGTATGTAACCTGTCCCTAACCTAACCTTGGCCTCCTCGTGGGAAGGCATGTGTCCATGACCAAGAAACGCCTCTCTCGGTAGCAGCAGCACCGTGTCTAGGTTTGTGTCCGGAAAATAGATCTGTTGGCGAAGGTACGCGTACAGGAAGCGGCAGGCGAGGCGGCGGGGGACAATTTGAAAGCGGCGAGATTATTCAGGAAGCAGTTAGGCGAGAGAGAGGGATATGCTCACGTGCTAATACCGGTCGTGAGTAAACCAGTGTGTGTGGTGTGTGTGTGTGTGTGTGTGTGTGTGTGTGTGTGTGTGTGTGTGTCTTTCTCAATAGCATCGCTCGCGCCAACCGGCTGACCAATGAAAAAACGTCAGTCTCAGTGCGGTTGAAACACAACGCACTTCTGAATGTGTACGTGTGTCATTTTCAATAGCATCGAGACCGCGCTAACCTGTGTGCATGTATGTGCATTGTCCTCGACCTGCATCCGCAAGCTTCCGCACCGCTAGCCTGAACAGCAACAGCAACAGGAGGTGTACTATGCACTAGGTCTGTCGCCAGTCGTCGCTGAATGCCTGTGCTTACAATATCCCTACAGTATGTGCATAGGATCGCACAGAATTAAACTTGTACTCATTATTTTCTTGTGACGGCTGTGCGGCAGGCAGATTGGGAAGGTAGGAATCGCCGTGTTGTGTCGAGCAAGCATCGACACGCAACCTTCTTGCCAAAAAAAGCAGACAAAGCCAAACTGTTCAGCAAAACAAACAAATCCAACACTGCTGGGCCCCGGCGTGAAAACCAAAAACACGAGATTGTTTTAGGGACGTTATCCCTGTCGTAGCGTGTATACTCTTCGACGATCTGTGTGAGAATTGAGCACAATACGGCCACTGTTTTGTATTTTTTCAAAATATGACCCAACGAATCCATCTCTATCCAAGAAAATAGTCGAAGATAGATTAGCAATGAATCCATAGCGTCGGCGAAGGCTACCTGTATTTCCACGATTTCCCGAGCAGCACACAGCGATGTCTCCCCTGTGGGTAACAGGCTCAACAAGATAGTTCGGTAGCCATCTTGTGCATCTCTCTGTTTGTTATGCTAGAAAGGTGTAGAAGGAAGGTGTTGGGTAGGTGGTTCGTCGGGTGTGTTGGTGGAGGCACCCTTGAAGAAACACTACTATATATTGTTAAAAATACAGTACATATATTACGACTTAGCAGACCACGCGCTGGCTCGAGGGGGAGGGTCCGAGGGGGGGTTTACCCCCCCCCGGCACTCGTATGGTGACCCAGCAGACAACGCGTGCGGTGGACCAAGCATACCACCCGTGTGGTGAACCCAGCAAACCACGCGCTGGCTCGAGGGGGGGGTAGTTTGACCTAGCATACGACTACACGTGCGGTGGACTAGCCAAACCATGGCCAACAACCAGCAGTAGACTGCTGTGTGACTACATGCACAGCAGTATAGCGTGCAACGGCTCGCACGTACGACCACGCATCATAGGCACACACATTCACAGGTACTGCTGATGGAGGTGCACACGTTTGTAGCTGACAGAGCTGTGTGTGTGCATCTCTCCCTGTGTGTGCATCTGTATGTAGCTGCGGCAGCCAACGGGTGAGTGACGTCAACCCAGCAGATCACGCGTAAGAGATCCATCTGCTGTCACCTCCATTTGTGAGCGTACAACGAGTTCCACGACTACCCATGAAAGCACCTGCAGAGGAGACTTTATCTACTGTACTTCTGGTGCTGGTGCACACGTTTGTACTCACAGAAGCTGTGTGCGTATCAATTGCTGTGTGTGTAGCATAGGATCTGCAACTA